CTGTTCCAGAAGGCTTGCCTTAAACAATGTTATTTCTGTATATCAAACCATGCTGATATATTCCTGACTACACATTTACTGACAGATCATCTTACAGACCAATTGTTCCATAGATTAGTGCTGTCTTGAATTAGCATTTAAAAATTAAGCCTTAAAGTAAGGTAAATACATGAAATGTAAGGAACAATCTACAAAATAAACATTTGTACAATGAAAAAAAAATGTTTTCACAATTCTATACTTTTTTATTTTTTTAATTTAACAAATATATTTAATTGAGATATTAGGAGCAAAAAAGATAAAAAAAAAAAGATTTAAAGGAACACTATAGGGTTAGGAACACAAATGTGTTTTCCTGACCCTATAGTATTAAAACCACCATCTTGCCTCCCTACATATAGTACAATCTTACTTGTATTCAAGTCTGCAGCTGCCTCTGCCCCTGAACTGCCTGCTTGGCTGACGTCATTAGACGTGATTCTGTGAGCCAATAATAATGCTTTCATAGGATTGGCTGAGAATGTCAAGGAGGCAGATCTGTGGCAGAGCCAGCACAAGCCAAACACAGCCCTGGCCAATGAGCATCTCCTCATAGAGATACATTGAATCAATGCATCTCTATGAGGAAAGTTCACAGGGTGCAACATTGCCCCAGGAAGCACCTCTAGTAGCCATCTGAGAAATGACCAGTTAAGTTATTATATTTTCTCTGAAAAAACAGTACTTACTGCAAAAAGCCTAAAGGGAATGATTCTATTCACTAGAACAAATACAATCAGCTGTAGTTGAATTGGTGTCTATAATGTCCCTTTAAAATAATAAAAGATATTTTATAACTGATTCCATAGTAATTTTTTAAATTATGTATTAAGACATTATAATAATATAATTGGCACCATATTTAACATATTATTTACATAAGCTGATTTAAAAACATATTTCATATTAATTTCAGTTTTTTAGTATGTTTGTATTTGCATGATAACTGTGAGATGTGATGCATTTAGCTAAATGCAAATTTGTGTACAAAAAGTAGTTTTAAACTGCTTTTTATTTGTTTTACTCTGATCTTTATAAGGCGTTTTAGAATGACCCAGATAATTATTCATGTGTTAAAAGAGACAAATATTTCCTGCTTATTTAATACACTAAAAAACTCAGGTAACAGAAATGGAAATTAGATGGACTGTTTTTCAAGCTTCAAATTCCAGAAAAACTCCAGGTGTTGCAATCCTAGTTCACAATATTACAAAACATTAATAACTCACCTCTTTCCCTTTTTAAAGCTAGTTATATAGACCAGACTCCTTTAGGTGAATAGAGCTGTGATGGATCACCCTGTCCCTGGACTGAAAACCCCTTCATTTCATTCCCCTATGTGTTCGGGACATTGTCTTCTCTTTAGTTTATCCTGTATTTTATTCCCCTACCGAACAAACTACTGAATGACCAGACCACCCGTGTGTGGAGTGTGCCCCTCATTGACTTCTGTCACCTCTGTAACACCTCAAAAACCACAGACATTCTAAGCAGTCGGCTGGGTGGTTGACGTTCGGTATTTGAACATGTGGCGGCGGCCATCTTAAGCCGCGAATACATACAGCGGTGTTTGGTTGTCGAGTGCATGGAACTATAATCGGATACTCGGCGGCGCAAACACCACTGGGACTTCCATACCTTCGTACGTTAGTCTAGATTTGTATAAAAAGAGCCTCTCAAACCAGATACATTAACCAAGTATCAACCATTTCATGTGTTCCCAAAATAGACCGGCCGCACAGCCTGATTTTATGGAACTCTTTTGGACAGGAGCTTCGTGTCATGTGACTTCCATGGAAATCCTGAACCCTTGAACCGATCTGGGTGATCTTTGGATATGTTGGTCCCCCAGATCAGGGCTATCAGGAGATATAACTTTAGTTGTGTTTCCATTCATTTGCATTTTTGGGGTACTTTCAGGATACTGTGTAAAAGTATATTTTTCTGTGCTTGGAGATAATTGGGTTATGTGAGTACAATGCCTTATTCAATTATCTCCCAAGCACAGAGGAGGGATTACATTGTTTGTGTATGGGAGTGTCATGGACCTGAGAGCCAATGCTACTGTATAATTGTCTGTACTGTACACTCAGGTCCAGAGGGGAGTGCCCCTTGCATAGGGATTGCCATAAAAGGCCGTGTGTGGCTCTACTAAACTAAGTCATCTCACAGCATAGAGCCTTGTGTCATGTTTGTGGGAGAAAGCTGTACCAGCTCTCTCTCTCTCTTCTGCTTTTTAGTGCTTAATCACCAGCTCTTTTAAGAGCTGTTCCTGCTCTGCTCTACAGCATCCCTCCCACTAGGGGGAAAAGAACATCTCTGACGGCGAAACCGGTCTTCTCATCAGGGAGGCCGCCACAAGAGCCAAGCCTACATTATTTTTCTACAAATGCTGGGTAAGAATCCAGAGCCAGTTGACTCTTATTGTCCAGTCACATTACTTAATCACAACCTGAAAAGTCTCTCCCAGCCTATAAATGCTTTTGTCAGATATTTTACACCTACAATAGTGAGGCTCTATTATTTGTACACTATCCAAAAGTTCTATGCACATTTAAATAACGTGAAGATTTTTGGTATCATGCAAATTGTCGCTAAAGTGAAAGCTCATCTTCCACATCAAGGCAAAATCTCTGAGTCCTACACTAACAACTCACCTTGTTACTTTTAGCTAAAAGACAAAATCTCTAGTGAGACAGAGAGTGGTATTTTTCTAAACCCCTTATGCACTTATTAACTCAACTGTAACATGTTTGTGTAATACAAAAACAAATACAAACATACAAAATTAAGCCCTGGTCTCAAACTCCCACTACTCCTGGATGGTAGCATAGTACACATCATACCCAATACATACAATAACAAACACAAGGTGGTTTTCTCTGAGATATTACCTGTGCCACGCGCTACAGTGGAAAGGCAGCGGGAGATTAGAGAGGTCAATGCGTGGCTTAAGTCTTGGTGCAGGAAGGAGGGTTTTGGGTTTTTAGGGCACTGGGCCGACTTTGCGATTGGGTACAACCTTTATAGTGGTGATGAATTGCACCTAAACGGGAGAGGGTCTGCAGTGCTGGGGGATAGGATGGCTAGAAGGTTGGAGAAGATTTTAAACTAGTAGTAGGGGTGAGGGTCATAGCAATCTAAAAATGGAGATAGGACAGAAAGGAGATGGGCTTTAGCACAGTATAAGGGGGGTGGAGACGGGGGAGGGGCAAGCTCAGAACAGAGAAGCTATGTAATGTTGATAATTCACAAAATATACAAGTGACGCATAATATTAAATGTATGCTTACTAATGCAAGGAGCCTAAATAACAAAATGGGGGAACTGGAGGCATTAGCATACACTAAATAATATGATATAATAGGCATAACTGAAACATGGTGGGATGAGACACATGACTGGGCAGTTAACTTAAATGGGTACATGTTATTTAGGAAGGATAGGAAAAACATGAAGGGTGGTGGGGTATGTTTATATGTCAACCATGATTTAAAGCCAAATGGAATGAGATGAGGAAAATGTGGAAGCTTTATGGGTAAATATCTGCTTGGGGGAAAAGAAGGGAAACCAACTATTGGTTGGGATATGTTAGAAACCGCCTAATGTTAATATTGACGAGGAACAACAGCTGTTTGAGCAAATTGAGAAAGCTGCAAATCTGGGTAACACTTTAATTATTGGAGATTTTAATTACCCAGACATAAATTGGGAGAGAGGGACTAGTAGCTCAGCAAAGAGAATTAGGTTTTTAAACTTGTTAAATGACACCTTCATGTCACAACTTGTACAAGCACCAACTAGAATGGACGCTTGTCTGGACCTGATTTTAAAAAACAACGTTGATCTTTTGACCAACATTCAAGTAGGTGAGCACTTGGGAAATAGTGATCACAATATAGTGTCCTTTGATATAAACTCAAAAAAACAAAAACACATGGGGAATACAAAACATATAATTTTGAAAAGGAAAATTTCAATAAGTTAAGGGAAGCTTTACAATATATTGACTGGCATAAACTCTTTAGTGAAAAGAACACTGAGGATAAATGGATATTAGAAAGGTACATTTCTCAGTATGTACCATTGGGAAATAAATATAAAAGAAACAGATTAAGACCAATGTGGCTGAGTAGAGAAGTAAAACAAGAGATTAAAAATAAGAAAAGGGCATTTAAAGCATTTAAATCGGACAAATCAGATGCATCTTATAAAAGATATAAGGAAGCAAATAATGCATGCAAAAAGGCAATTAGACTTGCTAAACTTCAAAATGAAATAATGATAGCTAAAGAGAGCAAAACCAACCCCAAAGCATTTTTTAAGTACATAAATTCTAAAAAACCCAAAAATGAAAGTGTAGGTACGCTAAAAACTGAAACGGGGGTGTTAGTTAATTAAGACCAGGAAAAGGCAGGAATTTTAAATAACTATTTCTCCTCCGTATATATTAAGGAAGAACCCATGGCAATAGCTGTGCAAATGATTGCTACTAAAAACTTGCAGAATAATTGTAATTGGTTAACTCAAGACAAGGTGATGCAGCAACTAAAGAAAATGAATAGAAACAAAGCTCCAGAGCCTGACGGTATCCATCCACGTGTATTTAAGGAACTAAGTGTAGAAATAAGTGAACCTCTGTTTTTAATCTTTCAAGATTCTTTTCTTTCAGGAAGTGTTCCAGAGGACTGGAGGAAGGCAGATGTGGTTCCTATATTCTACAAGGGTTCAAAATCCTTACCTGGAAATTATAGACCTGTGAGTTTAACTTCTGTGGCTGGTAAAATATTTGAAAGGTTATTAAGGGATAATATTCAAGAATTCCTTGAGAAGAATATGATTACCAGCAAAAATCAGCACGGTTTTATGAAGCACAGGTCATGTCATGCATGAAAAAGGGCATTCATTCTCGGGACGAGAATATAATTTTGCCTCTTTATAAATCACTGGTAAGACCCCATATTGAATATGCTGTGCAATTTTGGGCACCTGTTCTAAAGAAGGATATTATGGCACTAGAAAAAGTGCAGAGGCGGGCTACAAAATTAATAAAAGGAATGGAACATATCGGCTATGAAGAAAGGTTAACAAATTTAAACCTATTTAGTTTAGAAAAACGTCGCCTGAGAGGGGATATGATAACATTATACAAATATATTTGGGGCCAATACAAACCATTGTGTGGAAATTTATTCACAAACCAGACTTTACATAGGACACAAGGCCATGCGTTTAGACTGGAAGAAAGAAGATTTCGTCTAAGGCAAAGGAAAGGTTTTTTTACTGTAAGAACAATCAGGTTGTGGAATTCTCTGCCTGAAGAAGTGGTTTTAACAGCTACTAGATGCATACTTGCAAAAACAGAATATTCAAGGATATAATCTTTCAATGTAGGGTAATAACTGCTTGATCCAAGGATAACTCTGACTGCCATTCTGTGGTCAAGAAGGAATTTTTTTCCTAGCTTGTTGCAAAATTGTGCTTCAAACTGGTTTTTTTTGCCTTCTTTTGTATCAACAGCATAAAACAAATGTGAGGTAGGCTGAACTTGATGGACGCAAGTCTTTTCAGCTATGTAACTATGTAACTATGTAAGTAAAAAGTTATACCAAAAACCAAAGCAACAGTGTAGCGCTTATTATAAATTCTAAAGTGTAGTATATGTGAAAACAACCAGATACCTTAGGCAATATATGTAAGCATCAATGAGGAAAATATTTGAATGATACAGATCTTTGTACCTTTAAAATACCAAAAAATGGATACAATAGTGAATAACCGTGTGAATAAAACAATGCATTATTTTGTGAGACAATTGAACACTCACACTTTTATGCGCTAAAACACCTAGCTCAGGTGGTAATGGCTTGGGGGTCCATAAAGGCGACCCTTCCCTTCTTAATGTTGAAGTTGCTCTAAATGTATCCTAGACAGTGACTCAAAAGAGACACAAACATAGGGTAATAAAGTGTGATAATAATACTCCATATTAATTAAGAATGATTGATTAATCACTATTGAGCAAATTAAACTATTATAGATAGTTAAGATGGCGCCAGTACACAGTACTGAAAATGTTAATAACCACAAAACACAGCACCAGAATGACTCATGCATAGCCTCATGAAAATATTATGAGATCAGAGCTAGTTTTTTAGATAAGAGATAATTAACTGCACAGACCTGGCATGATATTGTTGGTGGGCCTAGACAGCCTGGCCAGCTGCTGGTCCCATCCAATGCTTTTGCAAGGTCTTTGCTGGCCTGCACTGATAAGGAGATTTGATGGAAAAGTAGAGACTTTCTATCCCATTGAAAAATTATAAAAGTCGAGAAAACTTGGCACTCATTGGAGTGCTACCCACCTGTAATGGTTCTACTGATTCCCAGTAAGAGAGGGAAGCCTGACTGCCAGAAGTTCTCTCAGTCTTGTACAGAAAGCTTCTCTTATGGTGATGTATACTTAAGCTGTTTCTTTAAGCTGTTTCCTTAAGCTGTTATTACTTATTGATTGTCTTTGTTAATCGATAAAGTTTGTATTGATTATTTACAAGTACTTGTTGTCAGTGTCTTTCCCTTTCTCAGATACTCAATTCACTCATCCCGAATAGGGTTTTGGTGCCCACCAATATCTTTAAAAACCTTAATTATTATTGCTTTTTGATATTGGCGCTTCATGAATTTAATGATTAGGCACAACATGGAGTAGTACATACATATCTCCAAAGAGCACTAAACAGATGGGTACTTACAATGGTAGAGCCGATACTAGACTGAATATGCATCGTAGTGCGTGTTAAGGACCACACTCCCTTCTTTGGTAAAAGCAGGAGCGAAGTGCTTATAATCTTGAAAGGGTAATTATTAAAATTTTAAACTGCTATATATAAACAAATATAAATCAATTGACTCACTATCGCCAGAAGGTGTTTCGCCTTTCACAAGTCGGGCTTCATCATCTGGGCAATTTATGGTAAGGGTCTGAAAGTGTTTCGTCCTGCTGATATACCCTCTTAATAAGGGATAACGGTAATCAGGAAATCGGAAATGCGCTCCTTATCCCCCAGAGCCGAGAGTGGGTCGCATTCCAAGCCTCGTTCTCATCTGGGATTCTTTGACGTTGCGGTTACTTCCGTGTATATCTCCGTTTCATCATTTCCGGTATGTTCTTTCGGCATCATCACTAATCCTTTCATGCATGTCAGCAGCCATATTTGCGTTCCATACAAAAAGTTCCCCATAAAGAAGTGGTAATCTATTCTATTGATTGTCCTATTTCATTGCTATAGACATAGATAAGTGTAATTAAATAACTGGAGCTTTAGTATCACTTCAACATCCATTAAAGTGTAAGCTCACCTGTCACATCAACTACCTCTTAGGTGAGTTCTACACTAACAATTTACCTTGCTGCTTTCGGCTAAAAGGCAAATTCAGCAATGAGACCGAGATGGGTATTTTATTGTATGAATTAGGGGTGATGTGTACAATTGTTATTGCCGCTGCCCAGGAATAGTGGGATTGGAGTGCTATTATGATAAAGATATTCAAGCAGCTATATCATTAGCAGCAGTAGTAACAATGATTTCCTTTGAACGTGATGGCTTTTTGCTCGTGAGTCTAGATGCTCAAAAAGCTTTTGATCAATTGTCCTGTTTACACATTCTAAATATTGAAATATAAATTTTTCAGTATCTAATTCTTTACATTTATCAGAAATCTATATAGCTTCCCATACCAACTTAAATAATGATTATTGGTGTTGACTCATCACCAGTTCTTATGGAAAGGGGGGGTTGCAGTTAAAATCTTGCTCTATATATTTGACTGATTGACTCTAACATTTCTCTTAATTGTAATGCGTACAATTACTATTTTTGGCCCTATCATCATTTGATTGGTGTAAATTATTAGTCTTAGGCCTTGGTCCACATCCTAAGAGACCATGAAATTCTTTTGATGCCATCCATTGGTCTGACTCGCACTAATAATATTATTAGTATTATTTTATTATTTATATAGCGCCATCAATATCCATAGCACTGTATAAATATCTAAAATGTATAATCCTTAGACAGGTTAACCCCTTAAGGACGGAGTCAATTGTACATGTTCTGATCAAAACAAAACTTGGAATTTCGCTATATGTCTGTTCAACCATAATTCACCTCTTTCATATTAAGTTCGGGAGGACTGCACTGTCAGGCAGTCCTCCCGAAGCAGATCGCTGATAAGATGAGTATCTGTCTGGCTCCAGGGCTCAAAGATGTTATGGCATTCTATGCCGCCGCAACAGCTTTAAGGCCCACTATATGATGGATGGCATAGAACGCTGTGATGGCATTAAGGGGTCAAAGGAACACCATAGTCACCAGCACAACTATAGCTTAATGTTCCTGCAAGCTTTTTAACCCCTTAAGGACCACATTTCTGGAATAAAAGGGAATCATTACATGTCACACATGTCATGTGTCCTTAAGGGGTTAAAGAAAATATTATGTTTACATTATTGCCTCGTAACTAGTTCAAGTCACTCAGGCGGCCACTAGAGGTGCTTCCTGGGTCACTGCTAAACAGTGTGTATCACATTCAGGCGTTCGCATTAAGGATATTCTGATTGACAGAGAGCTGTGTTTTGCCTTGCATGTGCAATCACCTCCCAGTGCTTTCCTATGTGCTGAGATTGTCAAAAAGGAGGAAAAAAAATAAAATTCTGTATCACCATGAGTATCGGCCTCCCAGATCTCATAGACCCATTCAGATGGATTCCTGCATTTCTAATGATGAAAGTGTGGCCCTTCACCACGCAAAGCTTCTGTACTGAGCCTGGTTACAGGCTGTACAGGGCCGGATTAAGAGCACAGTGGGCCTGGTGCTGACAATTATGATGGGCCTAATTACAAAATCTTATCGACCAAAAACACTAAAACAATCATACCTCCCAAGCGTCATGTATCTGATGGAGACGGCGCTGGAGGGAAACTCATAGGATGCAGCTATAAGAAAACACATACTCTATGCTAATTTCTCTCTAATTTATACTTTCATCTTTCAAGTAAATCCATAACCCCTAACAGCAGTGTCCAGTGAAGCAGGAAGTCAATGGGCAGGGTAAAAGGGTGTGCCACTGGCGCGAATCACGTGACAAGACCTGCCAAAAGAGGTGAACATGCCCAAAAAGGGGGCATGTTTGTCCAAAGAATTGGAAGGTCAACCTGGCATGAATGCATGTCAGGCTGCCTGCCAATCCTGCAGGCTGTCCAACTAAGGGCATACTATGCAGGCAGCACCTTGAGCTTGACATAAATGCGTCTAATGATGCTCTCACTCCATTCTTTCTAAGGACTGTCCCCTAGCACACGCTGGTCCACTTGTCTCCTTACCTTCTTACTAGCAGGCAGAAGTTCCTGGTATATAGTCTGAGACAGAGAAAAGGTGTCTGTAGTGAGTGTAGAAGAAAAGGGACATGCCACAGTGTTAGAGAGACCAACGTCTGCATTACCTAAACTAACTTTAATGTCAGCCAGTGCACACAAGTTTTGTTCCCATACATCCCTCTTAAGCTTCCAAACTTAAAGGGACACTATAGTCACCAGAACAACTACAGCTTATTGTATTTGTTCTGGTAAGTAGAATCATTCCATTCAGGATTTTTGCAGTAAACACTGTCTTTTCAGAGAAAATAACTCCACAGGGCGCTCCTTAGATGGCTGCTAGAGGTGCTTCCTGGGGCAGTACTGCCTAGTGTGCAGCACTGCCATTCAGTGTCTCTACCCTCTGCATGCAGACACTGAACTTTCCTCATAGAGATGCATTGATTCAATTTATCTTTATGAGGAGATGCTGATTGGCCAGGGCCATGTTGGACTTGTGCTGGCTCTACCCCTGATCTGCCTAGTTGACAGTCTCAGCCAATCCTATGGGGAAGTATTGTAATTTGCTCAGACCACCATTTCTGAGCCAGCAGCTGCAGAATTGAATACAAGTAATATTTTACTATATTTAGGGAGGCAAGAAGGGGATCCTTTGAGCAAGAGTATGTGAAGAGTAGTTAAAGGACCACTCTAGGCACCCAGACCACTTCAGCTTAATGAAGTGGTCTGGGTGCCAGGTCCAGCTAGGGTTAACCCATTTTTTCATAAACATAGCAGTTTCAGAGAAACTGCTATGTTTATGAATGGGTTAAGCCTTCCCCTATTTTCTCT